AGCCCTTTAAAGGAACCCTTCGAGGAGGCCTAAACCCTGAACCCTCAAAGGCGGCTGTGGTGTCCGGGACTCCACATTCGCACCTTTTCAAAGGCCTATTGCAAACCTACACACCCCACGGGTTTTTAGCCGTACTTTTTGAGGTTCCGTGACATAGTTCTGCTATACTCTCCCCCAAAGCCCTATTTTTTGCAGATCTACGATTTTCTACTNNCCCCCCCCCCCCCCCCCCCCAAAATAGCCCGATGTTAACTACGAAGGCCCCTATAGCGAGCCTGACCTGTAGCCTCGATCTCCGGGACCCAGGCCTGGCGTCTGTCCAGCCAGCGAAGAAGCTCTTTGCGGACGCGGCTCCGGTGGCAAGTCCTCGAGGAAGTAGGGTTTTGGGTGTTAGGGCTTTTAAGGGGTGCTTCTGCAAGAATTCTGTAGGGCTTTACAGGGTTAAGGGGGTGCCTTGACCGAGATGAAGGCCGGGGCCAGCCGGTCTATCGAGGTTTCCGTTTTTGCAGAGTATAACCTGCCAGCCTTTATACATGGAGTCTCAGTCACTGTGACTCATGCTATCGCCGAAAAGCCTCTCGACTTATACTACAACACTCACCCAAGCCAAGAGCCCTCTTCCCGAAGACCAGAGACTTGTTGTTGGAGAGACTGTTGAGACCCTGTAAAACCCTCTAAAATCCTTTCCATCTGTAAAAGGCCCTATACAACCGCTCAATACCAAGGACCCCGCGCAAGGAGCCGAGCCATTTCTTCGTAGTCCTCAGCTGGAGTGCAGTTGTGCTCAGAAGCATTGCTGTTGCAAGCAGACTACTAAGCCCACGATACCTACTCACTGCTGCTGATGCTGCTGCTGCTGCTGCTGCTGCTGCTGCCGTTCCTGCTCCGGCTCCTTCTCCCGCTCCTACGTCCTTCTCATTCTACTCCACATTCCTAGTACGATCAGACCTGCAGAAATTTTGGCTCGCCGGGCGAAAGCAATCTGCACGCATCAGGAAAAACACCCGAAGCGACACTCGGACTGAGGAGCCCCGTTTGAGTCCGCCGGGATCTGCTGAAACTCAAGTTTAGGACAGTCTTCAATTCAATAGGTTCCGGTGAGTGAGTAAGCGGGCAGAAAGCCGGCATGTACTGCATCAATTCGACTTGGCTGTCGGCTATCGGTAGCAATGACGCGAGAGCTGTCCATACCGATCTGCACCTACTTGAGCGGCATTCTTGCATGGAGTGCCCTGCTGGAGAGAAGGTTTTTCGCACACATGCTTGCCTCACGAGTCTTGAGCAACATCCCGTGTCCGTGGGCATACAAACACATCCGAGGCCGTCACGGCTTGGCAGGCCGCTGCCAAACAGCCGTCATCGCGCGCCATGCCGCCACCACAGATGGCAGCAGGGCTACAAGCCCTTCACTTCAGGGTTTCGGTTTCCAGCCTTTAGAGCTTGGCGGCGTTGGGTTTGGGGCTTTAGGGTTTAGGGTCAATTAATTGAGCTTTAAGGCTCCAAGCTTCCAGGAACCGCATCTTGTTGCTTCTGCCAATCACTTGTTCGCAAAGGCTGCAGTGATAGGCCACAGGCAGCATCTGTCTTGAGGACGCTCAAAGGCGAAATGCGAAAGTATGTCTTTGCCAGCATGCTAGGTCCTGATGTGGCTGCGCGGCTGGGCACCATCCGGCAGTGTTGCTCTCTCCAGCGATGCCACACGCGAGCTCTCAACTGCATGGACTAGAAGAGAGCAGTGCAGAGAATGATCGGAGACTAGAGTCCAAAACAGCTTCCCGAAATGTTTACGAGGCCGCACTGCCTCACGTGCGCAGGACGAAAGCAAGACACGCAGGAGCAGATGACAGAATTTTGACCGCAGCGGTCACCACACCATCCACAGAAAGTCTTGATGCTACTGCCGCGATGCTTTGGGCAGGCTAGCGATTCAGGTGACTGCGCGAGTGCTCTACGGCACTACGCTTCAGATCCCATGACCATTCGGATTCTTGCAGGCCCCGCTGTTCTTGCAGTCATATCCATCGCCAGCACCTGGGATCAAGCGGCTCGAGATACTGCGGTCGTGGCACAGATCTCTACATAAAAAGAGATCTCAAACTCAGCTCAGAAGCATTGGTAGCATGGGTGACCCTTGCTGCAGCAGTATTTCTGGCCGCAGTCGCCGTTGTTGGCCTTTGGAGACTGGCCGGACATGCCAAGCTCAGAAGGACAAGACGCCCTAACGACGCCTGGCAGCCGTCTAAAACCGCTTTTAACAACCCTAAGAATCCCTGAACATCCCTGACTTCTACAGGCAACTGAAACACAACAAAAGGGAGCTCTTCTTCACAAAGGCGCTGCTGAGCAATCGGAGGCATCCCGACCTGGCAGGCTCAAATTGGCGAGCCTGTTTCACTTTAGACTTGACTCTTCACTCTGTTCTGAAGTAGAGCTGAGATGCCATTGCAGATCTGCAGGCCGGTGCATAGCGGAAGGCCGCGGTCACCTTGCTTGCACATCCGATGTTGCCGCCCGGGCCATGCAACTTCGACTTGGCTGGATCAAGAATCAAGGGGCTTTCGTCGCCGTGTGTTCTGATGAGCTTTGGGTTGATGGAGCCGGACGACTCCTGAGGAGACAAGACAGACCCACGTCTCAGCCCTGCAGCTGAACAGCTGAGACTCGCGCGACCACGAGGCGGACGTTGGCCTCCTTCGACAGCTTGGGATTAGGATGAGAACTTGCGTATGGCTGGTATATGGAATCTGTCGGGTTTAATGACTGTAGCATGACTTGTTACAATAATGGGGTGTCGGGACGCCGGCGGACACGAGCGCATCGCTCTGCATGAACCACGAAGTCGTAACAAACGATGCACCAGTCTTGTGTCAACTACCGTCGCCGGGCCTTTGCAGCTGCAATGGTCGCAATTGCCACGAATGCACTCGCAACCTGACTGACTGTGGCTGCGTGCGGCAGCACTACCGGCGCTGGAAACAAATGCAGGGACTCGAAGTACTTTCACATGTCTTGACCAATGCCACCGTGTCACAACTCGGCGCTGAAGCATCTTGCGGCCGGCCAAGTCCATGCGCAACTCCTTACAACCTACCTTTCCTCTGCTACAAGCAAGTCGTGCCCTGCAAGGTTTCTGTCGAGTCGGCAGGGGGTTGAAACAGATGTGCCGGCTCAAGCCTACTTGTGGCGGTGAACAGATTGTGACTCCGCCGCTCTGTCTACTTGTGTAGCGCCTGTTCCTCAGACAAACGACTCTCTTTTTGAGCAGCAGCAGCACCACCACGGCGCAGATTGATCGTGCATGCAGAAGTATCCGAAAACAAGCCTCAACCTCGCCTAATCTTTTTCAGCTTCGGCTGGATAGCTGCAGGTTGGTTTTGGCCACCAGAGACCCGAACCCTGAACCCCCTGAGCCGAAATCCCTGGCCCCAAAACCCCAGCCAGAAATGTCAAAACCTCTTGTTCTTCTGCTTAGGTCTTACGGATGGATCGCGCTTGCAGCCTGAACACCAAAAGACCGCGGCAAGTGCCTTGGCCACGACGCTGAATTAGGGTTTAATTAGGCTGTAAGGGTCCAAAGTTCACGGCTTGGGGGCGAAAGCTTACGGGAACCCTATTGTAGAACTAGTGCCTTTAAAAGGAACCCTCTCCTAAGGCTTACGTAAGGATTCAGAGTTTAGCATTTCGGGTTCAGGGTGTAGGGTGTCTCATGTCAGGCCGGGCGCTCGGGCATGAAACGCCCCAAGCCAAACAGCGCCCTCACGTTGTTTGTAAATCCTAAACCCTGAACCCCTAAACCCCTAAACCAAGCTCTCTGTCGATTGGTTCTGACCTGTGCAGTGTGTGTGGCTCATTGGGCATGTGCAGCACTAGCCCAAGATCACCCGATGCCCAGAAACAGGAACATGAGGATACAGATACCCATTTTACTCCCCTATCTCGCGAAGTCTACATCTCCATCTATCGATCGATCTAGCTATCTGTGTATCTAGGTAGCTATCGACTCAAATATCCGTCAATCCGTCCATCTGTCTATCGTTCCTTTTCCCCGTTGTGAAGCTCCTGCAGCCATTCATGGGCCAACACGGCGCCGATGCCCGGCCTGCAGACTCCAAACCCTCAACCCCTCTGTCAGGGTTTAGGGTTTAGGGTTTAGTATCCCGAAACCCCCTAAACCCCTCAAACCCCAAACCCACAAAACCTAAGCCCAGAGCCCTGAACACGCAAAAAAAAGGCTCTTCAAGCGAGCATACTCTAGCAGCGGGGTTCCGGGGCTGCCGGACTGTTGGAGACTTTGGGCTTAAGAGCTCCGGGTTTCGGGTTTAGGGTTTAGGGTTTAGGGCTTTGCACTTTGGGAGGGTTGAGGGATTAAGGTTTGGGCTTTGGGGTTTAAGGCTTGGGCTTTGGTGTTTGAGGTTTAGGGCTCAGGCTTGGGGCTTCGGCCTCATTTAGTGTTTAGGGTTGAGGGCTAGGGCTTGGGGTTCCCGACGAGAAGAACCTCTGGCCAGGTGCGCACTCCGACATCGCCCCTAACTGCTCCCCTAAGCCCGACACCCGAACTCTAAACCCTGAACCCTGAGCCCTAAACCCGACATCCTGAAACCCTAAACCCTGAAACCCTAAACCTTGAAACCCTAAACCTTGAAACCCAAAACCCTAAGCCAGCAAAGCCTTCAGTGGCCAAGGAAGGGGGGGAAACTCACGGTTCCCCGGCCTTCTTGGTAAACAAGAGTCTGCCCATCGTCCCTTAACTAGGGGCTTTAGGGTTTAGGGGCTTTAGGGGTTTAGGGGTTTATAGGGGTTTCTAGTGGTTTAGGGGTTTATAGGGGTTTAGGGGTTTATCCCAGTCGTGATAGGGAGACTCCCAAAAAGAGAAAGACATAAGGGTGTTCCTTCATGGTACGAGAGAAGACTACCCCATCATCTTTTGTGCGGTCTTCTGGGGCATTTTAAAGAAAGCGGTCCAAACTCCCAACCCTGACGACCTAACCAGAACAGCAGTGTGGGGTATCTTGTAGTTTTCAGTCATAGATGAACGAACCCTAAGACATCGTTTTGGCAGACTTGCCAATACTCAGGCCCCCATAGCCGTCGATCCCGCAAGGAAGGATGAAACTGTCACGGGCCTGCTCTTGCAGTCCACCGTCATCAGCGAGCCTCCGCTTTACATCCAAAGGGCTTAGGGCGGAGGACTTGGGGCTTAGGGTGTAGGGGGGCTTGGTTTAGGACACTGACTGCAGAGTGCACCTCGAGTCCAACTACATCAGCGCGACGGACGGACGTTACCCGGAATTAGGTGAGACTATGTAATATAGGGGCCGAAATAATTACCGATATGATCCCCCAGGGTCTTCTACCATAAAGGAGCCCAAACCCTATTCTAAGTACAAACCAAAGGTCGCTGCATTAGCTGCTGGCAGGGCGCCCACGAGGTTCTTTGCCTCGGCGGAGATGTTGCCCCATTCCTGCAAAACACGTCGCTGAGAACATGTTAAGGTTTAGGGGCTTAGGACGTAGCTCCCCTGCAAGGCAGACACATTACGGCAGTCACTGGTATCGCTCCCAAGCAACAGAACATGATGCTATCTGGTCTAGAGGTCACAGTAGTCTGCGCAATGACCTGCACCATTCAGAGTTTCGCGCATGCATGCAGGTCCTCAGCATCAAATTCGTAGCGGCCCTGCATGAAAGAAAACGCATAGAGACAATGACGAGATTGCTCTTCGTGAACTGCCAGCATCCACATCTAAAACCTACATCCTCAACCTCTAAGCGCTTAAACCTTTAAGCCGCTAAAGCCAGAATTAAAACCCATAAGTCCAACGCCCTAACCTTTGTCACGGCACGTCTGCCTTTCAAGTACGATGGGGGCCTTAAAATCAGAACATGGTCTTAGGGGCAGACTTGTAGAAGTAATGTTATATGGACCAAGGGGATACAATTAGTCAACTATGATTCATCATTTAGGCCCCTACAGTGCAGTTCTTTCGGTTTCCTAATATGACGTTCTTATCAGCGTGATCGTCTTGAGAGTTGGATCCTGGGGGTCTGGAGCCTGGGACTTGCTGTTCTCATAACACCCCAAGATCCGAAATCAGGGTGCATAAATATATGTAGGAGAACGGTTGGCATGTTGATAAACGTGTAGCATGCATGAAAGTGGAGATTTGCAAACACAGGTTCCAGAAAACGATGCAAAACGCGACTTTTCATGACAGCGAAAGTCCCGTATTTCTGCCCAAGCCGGATGTTTAAATGTGCAATGTTTGCTTTGAAATCAAGTGTTTTTTGCAAATTTCCGAACGAAACTTCAAGGAGAGTTGCAAGATGAGAGGAGGAGGAGGAGGAGGAGCAAAACAGGGACGAGGTGCGCCATTCCAGTTTCCTGTTGCACCGATCCTGGTCAGTCGGGCAACGTCACACTGGATGGCTGTGCCTGTATTGTTGTTTGTTCACGCAGACAAACCTCATGGCTCTTCGGTGCCACCATGAGGTTTCCACAAAGGGGACAATGTCAGCGCATTCTCTTCCACAGCGGGCGGCCGGCAGTGTTTTACAGCACTCACAGGCTGTCATGTCACGTGAGTGAGTGGTCCACAATTGGCAATTGGACTGGACGCCCCAAGGTCAGTCGCAGCAGATTGGCCTGCAAATGATAATAAGCTGCCAGGCTGCAAGCACTAAAAACCTGAGGGCAACAATTGACGAAATTTCACAATTGAATTGACAATTGATTCTGATCAATCTGCGCAACTGCTTCCCCCGAGTTGCTGCAATACCGGTGAAACGGCCGTCTTCGTCTCTCTCCATCAGGGGACAGAAAAGGGAAGGTTCTGGTCTGGCCTGGACAGACTCTCAAAATCAAAACCAGGCAGATGCCACAGTTGCAGTGGTTTCATACGGTTTAGATTGTCCTTCCATTAAAAGCACCCATGTATGTGCAAGTCTTTGTGAAGCCACACACAAACAGAACATCCCAAGCGATGAGACTAGGGCTTGACAGTTTCCCCCGCGCACAAACTCCCGCTCAGTCCATGCTCCCTCCCAATCATTGGTGGCAGAGCGTTGGGAAACAGATGAGCACAAAATAGCAAAAGAGGAACATGGGGTACCGCACCATTGCGATGCATTGCCTTCACATGCTGCTCGCAGCATCCAGAAACAATCTCAACCATTGGGCCGACCACATGTTGTGCTCCGGACTGTACATGATATGCAAGCTGCATCCCCTCAGACCATGCTCAATCAACTTCTTCGAAAGTTTGGCGTGTCCCGAACAATATTCCTGTTCTCATACGCACGGCCAATAATTAATGCACATCAGCTGACATTCGACACTTCCGTTCTCCAATGCCGGATAAGCCCGTTCAATCAGCCCCTGCCATTTCACAGCCATTTTGCCACCATAGAAATCCTGGTCATAACGCAAAAAAATTTCGCACCAGCACTGTCGCGTCCGCGCTCCGTCACTCTGGCCAGCAAGCACTT